GCAGCCACGCTCGCGTCTCCTCGCTGACGCTCAAGGACATCCAGTACACGGACGCGGGCGAGTACATCTGCACCGCCAGCAACACCATCGGCCAGGACTCGCAGGCCATGTACCTGGAGGTGCAGTGTAAGTGCCCTGGAGGGGCTGGCTTGTTCCCTCTTCCCTCCCTGTGCTCCCTGTCCCTCCCCTGGCTACTGCTGAGGGTGAGGGTGTAGAGCGTGAGAAGTATTTTTATTTAAACCAAAAACCAATTTATATTATATAAGGAAAAAAAAGGTCAGGTAGATACTCCATTTATCACTATTACAATCACTAATACAAAGGGCTGTAACACAGTGATGAAAAGAAAGAGAAATTAGTTACAAGTCAGAGGCTGCAGTAACTCTCTGTAGCTGAGAAGCAGCTCAGGCTGGTGAAAGTCTCCATGTGAGAGGTTCCAGGGTGTTCTCTGTGCCTGGGTCTTCTCTGCAGCTCACCACGGATCTGCTGCAGTCCCATTTGTTGGGAGTCAGATGAGGAGGGTGAGGGTGTGGAAGTCTCCATGTGAGAGGTTCCAGGGTGTTCTCTGTGCCTGGGTGCCCTTTGCATCTCTCCACAGATCTGCTGCGCTCCCGTTTTTTAGGAGTCAGGTTCTCCCCTGGAACACCTTCCCAGCCCCATCCTGCTGTCTGCTCCTGACACGCTGCTCCTTTGTGCCCTTCAGCAGCAGATGTTCCCCCAGGCCCTGAGGAGAGGACAGTTCCCATTTCCCATTTTAGATTCCCCTTCCCGCATTGAGGTGGACTCCAGCCAAGGGTTCCTTACAGGGAGGCTTTTTTGGGAGCTCCGCTGGCTCCAATTTTCTTCCCAAATGTCTCTTCCAGATGCCCCCAAGCTGCAGGGCCCTGTGGCCGTGTACACGTGGGAGGGGAACCAGGTGAACATCACCTGTGAGGTGTTTGCCTACCCCAGTGCTGTCATCTCCTGGTTCCGGGATGGGCAGCTGCTGCCCAGCTCCAACTACAGCAACATCAAGATCTACAACACGCCCTCAGCAAGTTACCTGGAGGTGAGGAAAAGCCAGCAGTGCCATCAGATAAGTGGCGGTGAGGGATTCTCTCTGGTCCTCTTGGTAGAAGTGAAGTTGGGGCGGTGTTTTGGCATGTAAATTCTGATAAAATCAGGTTGTGGAAGATAAAGAAGAGCAGGAATTGGAAGATAATCAGGTAGCAGAAGAGACAGCCCCTGCTTGCCTCTGTGCCCGCTGCAGCTCTCCTGGACAGCTCTGAGGGCACAAACACCTGGATTTTATTGTAGCTTCTCCCCAGCTAAATTCAGGGTGCCTTGGCAGAGTGGAAAGGGTTTTGTGATCCCAGCGGAGCCTTCCTTGCCCCCACAGGTGACCCCAGACTCAGAGAATGACTTTGGGAACTACAACTGCACAGCTGTGAACCGCATCGGGCAGGAGTCGTC